GATAGGCGCCCATCTTGACGTATTGGTTCTCTTCGATGTTACGTCCCTTTAAGCGCAGCATGCATGCTTGTGTATCGAAGTCTATGGACTCAACACTTATTGTTAGTGTGGTGCGTACGCGATTGCTCGTCGACGAGCCTGTCGCCGATTCATTTTGTACTTTGCGTATGGTTGTGCTGCGCACTTGATCGCCCTCGGCAATCAGATTGTATGTGTGCCACATATCTTCGGGCTCTTCCGGTATCAGGGTGACGGAGCCCTGTGCGCCTTTGTCAAAATTTCTGCTGACCAGCCTCATGTTCTATTTAAAGTTGCGAGAAAAATATAAAACTTTTATGAAATGAAAAAAAATATGTTTAAAAGAGTTTCAGAAAACGCGCGCCGTTTGAACTACGAGTAAGTTACTCGTAAATAATTTAATGTAAATTTTGAGTTTTAAAAAATATAGCATTAAAAACTTGTTTTGCAATTTTTCCTATCGCCAGATTACTATAAAAGTAATTGTATAAACAGTTAGAAACTAAATTCTACAAAATTTTAAAAATGAACTAGCACAAAATTCCTTCATAAAAATGTTGGAACTTCTAAGATCAAAAATCTCAAAAACTCAACTCAACGCACAACACACATCCTCTCGAATATTCTGAATTATTTTTTATCAAAAATAACATAACTGATTGTTTCAGTAGACGGAATAGTTCCTAAGACAGTCGGTTTTACGTAACGGAACAGACCCGGCCACGGACTATCAACTAGGCATCATCCCTCCAATTTACTTCAGGGATGTTTTCTGCCGCTACAAAAACTACAACGAAAGAGACAATTCATAATTTCAAATTTTTCGAAACAGAAAACAACTCAACAGCTAATAACGAGACACGATGTTTTAAGAAGTAAAGGTAGATAATCGAATCGATAAGTAGAAGATTTGGCGCAATTTCTTTTTTCAGACATTCAGAAGTCATACTTTTAGAAACTTATATGAAAAAATAAAAATCTTCCTGAAAATAATCTAATTTTTGTTAGGTTGTTTTAGATTAGGAATTGAAGTATTGGGAAAATCTAGAAAGGCGCGTATGTATCGACTTTGGAAATAACAATCGCCCGAATGGCTGAAGTTATGATATTCACCAAGTTTCAACTTGTGTCTGGTGAAAGCTGGAAAATACAGAAGAAATGCAGAGATAATTTTATCTCGCGTAGTTCCTGATAACTTAAAAAATTTGCGTAGATCAAAATTTTTTACTTCACCACATGTGGACATTCAATGACCAGTTAGAACCCCTTTAAACTACAACAAAATGATGCAAGTAAGTAGTACCACGGATTTCTTATGATTTACTTTAGGATGGAAAGATTGTGCAACCACTTAAGTTCCGGCGGTTGACCAGCGATTAATGTGTTCACGCGAAGCCTAGCCGTCCAGTATTAAACTAGTATGTTCACACACAACCCTGTATTGGAGATATAGGATGTTTTTTGTACATGTAGCTTTCAAGAAGAAATCAAAGCATATAATTTTATGTTATGGTAAGAATTTAACTTTATTATAAAAATAAGTATTAAAAATGATTTCGTGCGTCACGGCTGGCTTAAATAAATTCCAGCCCGTAGGCCCAATTTTCGACCACTTTTGCAGCAATTGAATTGGAGCCGTATGTCAGCAATAACGCGCCGATTATTCTCTTCCAATGCGACAATCGTCTCGGGTTTATCTGCTTAGACAAGCGACTTCGCATATCCCCACAAAAAATAGTACAGTCGTGTTAAATCTTGGAGGCCACGCCAAGGCCCACGACGCGAGATAATGCGATCACCAAAATTTTCCTTCTAAATTGATTGTTTCGTTGGCTGTATAGCAAATACCACCGTCTTGTTGGAACCAAAAGTCGTCCGCATCAACATCCTTCAATTCAGGCACGAAAAAGTCATTAATCACGGCTTTATAGCGTTCTTCATTGACTGTAACATTATGGCCAACTTCATTCCCTCGGCCCATAGAGTACACCAAAAATTTCATTTTTACCTATTTCATCAAAAGTGAGCTTCATTGCTAACCAAAACTTTCTTCCCATACGTCACGCGAGCCGAACCATTATTTTATTAATAAATAAATTTGAAAACGTTGTTCAGGAGTAAGTCCGTTCATTATAAAATGGCAAGCCAAACTTAGTATTAGTTAAGTAACAGAAGGAACTAGTGATTAATGCTACTGAATGAATAAGCTGTCTCTATAAAATTCATATAAAGCGGAACAGACATAAGACACTCAACGTAAACCTTATTGTCGCCGACCACAAAATACAATGTATGTTGGTACATAATTATATGCTATATATAGGATATAAGAAACATATACATACATATTACAGGCGTTCATATACATGTTACATACACATTTACATAGGTGTATGTAGTTAGGTAGAGCTTTTAAACTGGAGTCTGCGTGTGATAACGCATTTTATGAACTTTCGAAAATTTTATAACTGGAGCTAGAAGAAGTAAGAAGAGCAGAAATCATTGGAGTAGCGTGCTTTGGAGAGCGCATATTAAACAATGAACAAATTCTACAACAGTGAACCCTTGAAGTTGTGAACAACTGAAAATGGTAGGTACATTTTTGTTTTAATTCAATAATATTTTAAACTCCAGTATCTAAATTGCATAATCTGTAACGAAATTTTAAGTTAGACAGAGTAAAAATAAAATGGACTAACATAATGAAAAAGAATAGAAAGAGCTTATACTAATCTATGCTATTGTTTGCTTAATTGAATTACTTGACAAAGGATATGACATTAAAAGTGATAAATACAGAAGTAGCGAAGAGAAGAATTCCTTGGTACTATAGTAGCATCTGACAGACGATTAGAAAATTTTTATGTTTTTTTTACGATCTTAAATTGTAAGGCTTCTTAATCCGATCAAATTAGACCCGAAATATGAGTAAAGATACATAAATTTACAGCAAGCTGAAAGTTAGTGAATATATTCAAAACAATATTAAAAACAAGAAAAAACGTTAACTTCGGTTGCACTGAGGCTAGGTGTTTTTTTTTTCTCAAGTTGCTACATCTGTCGTGAGAACACATGCAAAGTTACAAGTCATTCTGTCAATTTATTCTTTGCTTGCAAGTTTGAAGTTGACGTGTCAGAGTATTTTTTTAATATGGAAAAAATTTAATATCCGCAGTGATTAGATTCTTTATTTTGAAAGGTTTAGAAGCAAAGGATATTTATGAACAATTGTTAGAAGGAGTCCTCAACTTCAAAACGCCACTTTGAATTTGGGGTGCTGAATTGTTATCAACAAAAACTGGATCGAAAACAAATTTCTCAGCATAATTTGGAGCTTTCTAAACAGAATAAAATCAATTTCTAGCGTCATTTTATAACTATGGATGAGACTTGGATCTACCACCATGATTATAAATTGAAACAAGAACGTTTACAGTGGACTGAAGCTGGCTGTTCAGCTCCACAACAGGTGAAGTCACAACGATCAGCAAAGAAGGTTATGGCATCCGTTTTTTTTTTTTTAGGATGCAAAATACATTTTTTTTTAATTTGACGTTGACAAAGGTGTTGTAACAATGACAAAATTCAACGAATTAAAGTAGCAATTGCTTGAGCATCCACCGTATTCACCAGATTTGGCTACCAGCGACTACTACCTGATCGGAAACCTGAAACAGTTCCTTCGTGGAAAGGGTTTTTTTGTTTTTTTTTATTTTGCAGAGCCTCCGGAAAATCATTTATAAAATTATTTCAGGATCATTGGAATAAGTGTATTGAAGTTAAGGGATATTATACTTGTATTGAAGAAAAAAATATATTTCGTACGTTCTCTTCTGGGTGTTACAAACTTCGTAGTGAACTTGATATACCCTATTCAGGGTATAATAACATACTACAACTTTTCATCGAACCGAAATGAGAAAAAAAATTACTCGATGTCAAAGGTCAAAAAATGTGTTGCTCCCGGAATTCAACGAAAATGTAAGTGTTATTCCAATTTTTTTTTATTAGTAGATACTTCAACATTAATGTCTTATAAAAAAATTTAGCTTTGAATAATTTTGAAACCAAATTTTACGAAGTCCAAATATTTGTGAAAGCGTTTATATATGCTCATGTGTACAATATTTGTTTAGCATTATTATTATAGTGAACGGAAGTTAGTCTCTTTTTTTCACAAAAATGTATATACCTTTATACACACATATGTATGTATGTATTAGCAAAGCGTAAGAATAAATAACGTAATAAACATTTAAGTATTTAGTATTTGCCTTTCTAAATATGTAAACATGTACATACATACACATGTAGATGAATATATTCAAGCAACTACAACAATAGATACTGGAAACATGCCTACATTTGAATATCTGTAACAATAGACGGTGTGATGCTTTGATGTTTGCACCCAAATTACAAAAGGTACAGGTAGGCAAGTAAGACTTGAAGATTTTTTTGAAAATGTTGGTTACAAAGGAATACATAGGATTATGCACTTTCGATCATCTAAGATGCATATATGGAATTAACTAATAACACTGAAATGAGCTTAAGATGGAACAAACAAAAATGCAAAATGTGGCAAATTTCGGAATCCAATACAAATTTTACTTTTAAACCGAATAATGCAAAAATATGTTAAAAAGTCCTTGTAGGCCATCTTGTGGAGCAACCAGAAGAGAACACCAACAGAGCTTAATAATGAAATCAAGCGTGAGGTTGAATAACCTTTAAGGCACTGCTTGTTTATTTCAATAAAGCACCGAAATTTCTCTTAATCACTGCTGTAATCACATACGTCATAAAAATATAACATTAAAAACCGATATTTTTTAATTTTATTAGTTCAATTCTTTGTTTTCATTAAATTTCTTTATAACTTTTAATACGGACGGTTTTATTTTTAAACACAGAAGCTTAAAAGCTTTGTGTCGCAAAAAGTTTCATTTGTGTGACTAGAATATTTTATTTACACTTACATTTCACTTGCAAAGTTCAACAAATATCAATTATTTTAGTAATATTTAAAACACCACGCTTGGCAGAGGTATTATAATTTAGTTGGTAAACACTTGCACTGACATTTCTAGCGTATTTTAATCACAATTTTAATTAAGAAAGTATAGAAAAAAACACCAAAATCGCACATAAACATTCCGTTCACACGTTAATACACCGACAAAAATTAAATTCGACTGGTGTTCTTTTGGGGCAGCGAAATCGGCGGAGCACATGTATGGCGCTTTCAACGCCCGCACAACAAAAACAAAAACCTCAAGCAAAAAAGAAAAAACAAATGCAAAGGCAAAATGTGAAAAAAAAAGCACATACACATGTGCGGCGCAAGCAAACTGTCAGATAGAAAAATACAAAAACAATAACAAAATGTTTCGATCAGATATTTCACAAGGAAACGAACATCTAACTATATGGTCCGTAACACAAGAAAACACAATTTGATATGAAAGAATTAAACCTGTTAACAATGGCGCACGTTTCTGTTATATACTTTTATAAAAAAGAACACTTAATAAACCTTTTACCTTATCGCTGGTTTTATAATTTTGCAAAATGTTCTTGTCAACAAAAATGACAGGTAGGCACTGCACGGAATGTCACACAGCAGTAGCACTAGCGCAGTGCTGCCATATTTCGAAGATGTGTAAATGTGGATTGTACTAAAAACCGATAAGTTTAGAAAATGAAGTTATCGATAAGTTACAATATACTTTAAATTAAGAAATCATATCTAATTTGTTTTTGCAAAGGCATATGCTGCATAAATATTGAAATAAAAAATATATATTTCCACTCTAGAAAATTATTGAAGTAAAGTCCTATTACGTTTATAAAGCAATTAGTTTAATTGCCCTCAGATAGTAATTTTAAGCAATAAAACTCAAATTTCTCGGCCAATTTAATACTATTTTCACGTGCAGTAATTTTACTTTTAATTGTTATAGCATAGAAAAATATTACTTTTTGAATTATTAGGAATATAATTTCGAATTATACATATGTATATTCTTGTTTTAAACTATTACTTTAATATATTGATAAAAACGAATAACGAAAAAAGGCTTTAAAGCTTTAAACTAAGCTTTTACTTAAATAAATTTAATTTTTTTCTAAATGATTATGCATAAACAACTTCATTGTCTAGCTTTCACCAGACTAACCTTCTACGACCCAAGAGAACTGGCAATATCAATTCCTATATTAGCCGCCTCAATAAGTTTATGGCAGGGTCAAGGCGCTTTGTCGACTTACGACGAACTTTTCGATCCACATTTTGGAGTTCTGGGCATCACAACGGACCGGCGTCTCTAGCCGTCCAAATGGGCTATTCAGAGCTCCACGAATGTCAGCTTAATAACTTAACCTAACCTAACCAAAGTAGAGAAACTAATAATTTCTAAGTAACCAAAAATTATAAAATTTTCGTAAAATGTATGAAAAAATTTCGAAAAGCTCATATTATTTCAACTTTTTATGTATTTCAAAAATTCATTAAAAAATATATTTCATATATAGGGTCCTGTGGCGCAATGGATAACGCGTCTGACTACGGATCAGAAGATTCCAGGTTCGACTCCTGGCAGGATCGATGGTTAAGTTTTGTTTTGCAGTTTTTTAAAGCTTACAAGATTTGTTTTCAAACACATATAATTGTTTTTATGATGTTTAAATACTACAAAAAAAATATATTTTAGAATTTTTGAAAATTAATTGCAATATTGTCAATCATCATAATACATTCCAGTTGTCACATCTTTGTATATTAATACACATACAAGTGTTTGCTGTGATTCCACTCTCCAAAATAATAGTTCCAGCACTCTGGCAACTTCGTTACGTAATATTTGGTTTTACAGAAATGCTTAGAACATTCTAATGCTGTGATAGGTAGAAATAAGTACTTTGGCATTTAATATTTGTAGCCTCGGTGGCGCAGTAGGCAGCGCGTAAGTCTCATAATCTTAAGGTCGTGAGTTCGAGCCTCACCCGGGGCATTAAATTTTTTAATTTTGCTTGTAAATTTCCTTAATTTATGATACACTGCTTGCGTTTCGCAATTTACACTTTTCGATAGCATGCGATTTTTATGCCAACTTAATGTGTTCGTTTTATTGAAATACTATTAAGTGTGTATAATTTATGTCAAAACAGTTGTTTCATTGAATTCGCATTACACAAATTTTTATGTGTCTGTATTTACGCGTGTGTCCACGTTTATGGAATGTCACATCATTTATGTCTACGCGGGTCAACAGGTGCCAGAACCTCTGTGTCGCTGGAACCGAAACTACAAAATACCAATTAATATGCGAACATAAAATAGATTTGCAAATAAAATGCCTGCCATTAAGATTACTCCACCTCGGAATGTCCCCCTCACACCGTTACTGTTAAGCGTTTGCTGACAAGTTGAGTTCATTAAATTCGTAATTAAGGCGATAAATCTTCATTCAATTGCAAATGCTGCGTTTTTAAGCACATTTTATGTTTTCCTTAGCAAATTAAAAACAAAAATAAATAAAAAATTAAGTGACAAATTTAGTTTTCGATAGCAAATTTATGGGCGCTGGTTGGAATATTTGAGTTCGTCATTGAATATGCTAGAATCCGGCTAACAAATAGACACATGAACTAATTGATGTCGAATATTTTATTACAAAGTTGTTGTAAAAATAAAATATATTCTGACTTATATAAAGCATTTACATACATTTTAAATTGCTCTTAATTTTACAAATGTGCCGAAATGATTGAAACAATTTTTAAGCTATATATTTAGAACGTCTCTTTATACAAAAACCATATATATGTATTACATGTGCGTATATATATATTATTCTACAGTTTCAGTCGCTTCCAACTATCTTAATGAGCGTAAGAAGCATTCGTTGAGCATTCGTCTTCCTAATTAAGCAGCTAAAAGATATACATCTCTGAGATTTATAGCTGTCAAGCATATGATTGTCGCTGTTTTTGTATGAAAATATTCACACAATTTTATTGAGCAGAACACATCAAAAAGTAATTAAGTGTGGAAATACAAAGTAGTATTTGGAGAAGAATTCTGAAAAACTTGGAAAATAATAATTCTCATAATATATGAAAAATTAATATAATATTTTTTTATAAAAAATTAAAATGAAAAATATAAAAGTTTAAAAGGTTTGAAAACGATAAAATTTCTTAACAAAGGCTTTTTTTTTTATTTAAAAACAAGAAAAAACGTTAACTTCGGTTGCGCCGAAGCCATAATACCCTTCCTTGCAAGCACTTGATTCTTATTGTTCAGTTTGTATGGCTGCTATGTATGTATATGCTATAGTGATTCGATATCGGCGGTTCCGACTGATGAGCACCTTCTTGGGGAGAAAAGGACGTGTAAACAATTTCATCGATATCTCTAAAACTGAGAGACTAGTTCGCATATATCATATACAGACAGACGGACAGATGGCAAGGCTAAATCGACTCAGCTTATCATCCTGATCATTTATTTACATACATCTATTTTATAAGGTCTCCAACGTTTCCTTTTGGATGTTACAAACTTCGTGGCAAACTTAATATACTTTGTTCAGGGTATAAATATATACATATGTGTACATGTTCAAAGATTTTTTTTCGGAAAATTTTCTAAAAAATATTAAAAAAAAAACAAAAAATAATAAATTATTTAAGACATTACAAGAGTGACGTTTTAGACTAAATTTAATTGCAGGGTCCTGTGGCGCAATGGATAACGCGTCTGACTACGGATCAGAAGATTCCAGGTTCGACTCCTGGCAGGATCGAAATGTTCGCGACTTTTTATTAACATTACTTAAATCGATTTATTGTAAAAGTGTAAGGTGTAGCAAAGTACGGAAGCTGTTTAGATTTAGATAACCTCAAAATTTGTAAGAATTTATATTTCGAGATATCTACGAAGCTTTGTTATTATAAAATCAGCATTCGTTATGATGGATTTATGGTCAGCAATGACTCAGAAAAATACATGAGAGTGAGCAGTATAGATATATAGTGAATCAATTTCGAATACCCATGTGTTAAAGAGAGAAGCAAACTCACACACATGTATTTTTTTACATTTTAAAAATGACAAAAACTTTGTTCTGCGCGCTGATAAAATTCTTTCCGCTGTGACTGTCATATGACCGGTCAGACCGGCGCTTCAAAGTGCTTGGAAGTATAAGACCGGAGCGGCCAAGCTTTAAACGCGTTTTTATCAGAATGGTGTTTTTAAAGTCGGTGACCAACATTACTCGAAAACGGCTAAACCGATTAGTCTCAAATTTTAACAGGAGCTTCTTAAATATATTTTTTAGCAATTAATCGAAGCTTTTTTCTCTCAGATATATATTTTTGTTTTTATAAACAATGTAAGGCCGAAATTTCGGTGAAAATCGTTTTTTTTTTTTTAGAAACCGCCATTTTGTCAAAAAATTCAGATATGATCCAGTTCAGAGATATAGTGGTCACCGCAATCGTTTGGTTGCAGGCTGCATACGCGTTTTTTGTTTGTTTAAAGTATAAATTTTTAACTGGCAGGATCTGAATCGCCGACTATTAAAATGACAAGTGGTAATGCTATTTATACGAGCAAGGCAACAAAAAACTTCCGTGAATAACAAGCATGAGCTGGCCTAAATGAAAAATGTCTGTGAGCATGTACATACGGTGTGGCAAGTTAGATTAGAAGAAGCAGCTGCTAAAATAATTGAACTACATACCATGCAGTGAAATCAACCCAGACTAGAAGCTATTTCAGAACTAATTATAAACTCCTTCAAAACTAAGTAGTGCACCTGCTATCCTTCGTCCATACAATCAACTGTTTATTTTGTATATAATCGTGCGAAATGTCGAAGCTCAGGTTTTGGCGAGATATATATCAGTTCCGTACTAGTCCAAAACAAATATGTAACTTTTAGTTCCTATTATGTTTTCAAAAAAAATGTATTATGGATTTTGTTCAAGTTCTTCGAGTTTTATGGAATTTATATATCGAAATTGTACTGAAGTTGAGCTCGGTTTGGATATTCTAAAGAAAAATAAATAGACGGCATTTAAAATTTGATTCTATGGAATAAGATAGGTTCTAGCTTAAACCGAGCTTGGATGCCATCATGATAATGCTAAGAGGGTACAAAATTTTGGTTCATAACAGTCAAGTGGTTTGTGAGGTAGGAAATTTAAGATGACCAAATTTTGCATTATTTTTTAAGTAATGTTTTCATATGCAGGCTTTGGTGAAAAGTTATATATAGATAGATATATTTATCATTACATTACATTACCACAAAAACATGTCTATAAAGTTTCATTGGAAAAAGCTTCTCTTACCAAACATATGCATGTATATAAATTATAATTTATACTTGTATATGTTTATAAAGTTCCAGAAGAGTAGGAAATTGAGGCAAATAGTTCTTGAAC